GCCCTGTGACCCTTGGGATAGAGCATTTAGTGTGCAGCCTGGGGAGAGCCTTAGGGACCCCCAACACCACACCCTCCCCGTCATGGGGCAGGCACGGAGAGAAAGCAGCCAGGTGTCAGAAGGGGGCCTACAACACGCCACATCCGTGAGACCCTCGACTCAGGTGGAGGCTGACATCATTTGCTGAAGGGCGACCTGGGTGCTGGTTGGCTGGGGAGGGGCAGCGACGGGGTTGATGGCCTGTGTCCGGGCTGGGATGCATTAGCTGGCCCACGGAGCATGGGCCGGGACCAAGTGCCTCGGCTCCCAGAGCGGCTGCGGGGTAAGAGGCTGCAGCCGGGCTCAGTGCCTGTGGCCACCTCTCCAGCGCCCCCTTCTGTTGGCCCTCCCAGGACAATCACCCCCTGGCCAGCCTGCCCCTGCTGGGCTATTCGCTCACCATTCCCTCGGAGTCCGAGGACATCCACAAGGACTATGTGTTCAAGCTGCACTTCAAGTCCCACGTGTACTACTTCCGGGCCGAAAGCGAATACACGTTTGAAAGGTAATGTCCCCCCAGCAGAAAAAGGCCACTCGTCCCTTAAACAATAGGATTTCTCCCAGGCAAGCTGCTAGGAGAGCCCGCTGTGGGCATCCCCGCCCTTGTCCTGACCCGGGCAGGTGCTGAGGACAAATCAGGGTCTCTCCACAGAGTCCCCTTCTGCTCCCAGAGAAACATCCTTCATCCTTAACCTGCAGTGCTAGTTAACGCTACACACTTTTAAATCTCTTACGTGTGTTTATCAGTCTGTGGCTTCTGTAGCTGTTTAGTCCTAACATTCCTGATGGGCTGCGGTCAAAGGCTAAGTTTCCGTCAAAAGACCACATGAGGAAGGGAAGGAATCCTGGTGCCTCTCAGAGTTACCTTATTAGTGAGAGACAGTGCGAGAGCCGAAAACAAACGTAAAATGGAGAGAGCAGGCCACCATGCTTGACCAGTGGCTTCAGTCTGTTCCTGAAATGTCAAGGGTAATCCTGGGCCCCTGGAACGGCACCCTGATGAGACTATGTAAGCTTCTGTCAGTCCTCAGGCCACAGACAGGGCAGCAGTCCCCACCCTGTTCAGGGAGGAAATTGTCACTAACTTGTTTCCCCACCACCTACTGACACTGACCCCACAAGGGTTTCTAATCGCTGGGCTGGCTTTGCTCTGTGCACAATCCCCTGTATATCAGTAATCAGGGCCATTTGTGATGTTACGTTATGGAATTTGGGAGCTTCTGTGGGTGTAAAGAGAGCACAGTGGCTTAACACCAGGGCCACCTCCCACAGCAGCCGTCTCCAAGTTGTACTGCCTGAGCCGTGAGCCGGGGCACAGCAATTCTCAAATCTGATCCTGGGCTAGGAAATTTACCCAGGGTGGGATCCTGTCACTGTTGTGGCCAGGATACGTCAGCCTTCAGTGTGAGACCCTAACAAGCCTGATGATTACGGAGCGGCTAAAGCCCCGTGTGAGCCCCGTGAGAGCCCCGTGAAGACAGGAGGCGCGGCACACCCAGGTTCTCTTAGCCTCAGCACCGCCAACACTTAGACCAGACGATTCTGTGAGGGTCTGTGCTGTGCACTGCAGGTGCTTAATGGCAGCACCCCTGGCCTCTACCCCTAGATGTCAGCACTCCCTCCGTTGTGACAACCAGCAGCGTCTCCAGAAAACGCCAGTGTCCCCAGGTATCTGAAAACTACCAGGATCCAACACAGAAAACAGAGTCCCATAAGCAGGGCGGGATGCACACCCGGGTCCGAAGGAAGGGTTACAAGACAGAGCGTTCGTTCCTAGACAGCCAGGCGCCACCTCACCTGTCGCTGCTCTAAAGAGATGGGCTGCCACACCTTGGGCAAGGCACATCCACAGGGAGGTCAGCGGTCCTCAAACTGAGACTGGGGAACATCTGTAGGCACCCTAACCCTGCTTTCTATGCAGGGGAGGCTGAGAGTTCATTTAAGAAGTCTTCATCTGCTAAAATGGCAGATTACAAATAAGAAATCGGAGATGGACGTTTGTAAAAGGGGCCCTGACAGCCGTTTGCTTTCTCGCTCTAGGTGGATGGAGGTGATCCGAAGTGCCACCAGCGCGGCCCCCCGCGCCCACTCTCTGAGTCACAAAGAATCCCACGTGTACTGACGGCAGGACGCCGTCAGCTGGCTCGGCCGTGGCTGCTTCCCGGGCAGCCGTTCTCTATCAATGATGCCTAGTAAAATGAACGCCTGTCTGGAAAACACCAACATGGTTTTACAGCATCTCTCACCTGTCTCTGCAGAACCATTTCTAACCTTGTCTTTCCACTGTTCATTTCCCATCTGAACGGAAGTGCTCCCACCTCCAATGCTGGCGGCATTTTCTGTCATTCCCTCGACGGGCTGTTTTTAGCTTGTGCCAGTATTAAAACATTGTCATTAATATAGTGCCAAATGACAGTTTTTCCTCCACGACTGCACCTTAAAGCAGTACAAACACATCCGTTTGACAAAAGACAGGGCAAGTGCTCTTTTTTCTTTTTCTAGGCTGCTGCATTTTAAGAAAACGGATTCTCCAGTGTTTGCAATACACATGGCACAGTCTTAAGCAAATGAGATCATTTTCAGATTTCGTTTTTTTTTCAATCTTTCTACTTTTATAATAATAGGAAGTTACTCCTTTGATTAGTAAGCGATTTGCCGCACACTACGTGCCACCCTGGGGTCTCGTGCTCCAGTGAGACGCTGGCTCCCAGACCCACTTCCTGGTGCAAGCTGACCAAATTGTTCAAGTGATGACTATTTACAAACCGTAGCAGGTTGTTTTCTGCTAAGAGAAGCAGAAGTCCAGTGCGATGTCTAGACTATCACTGTACTGTGCGTGAGTGGTATATACAATGGGAAGATATTAAGCTGTGGGTGTTTTGCTGTCTGTTTCACAAGCATGAAAACCTGTATATCAGTAATCAGGGCCATTTGTGATGTTACGTTACGGAATTTGTGAGCTTCTGTGGGTGTAAAAGCACCATGAAGGATGGTGTGTAGTCCCCCGGCACCCATCGTCATACCTATCTATAGCCTACTCAACTGTGGTTCGGAACTGCGCATTCAATAGTAGTATATATTGTGCCTGTCTTCAAAAAACATTCTTTTTCCTTTTTTATACTCATTCCCCCAGGTACGGGGTAGGACAGTATGACATTGCACAACCTTGACAGTCGGACAACACAGGGAACATGGTTTCCAGTAATGCTGGGCCCACTAGTCAAAACCTGTTTGCCTATTCTCTGTGAGAGCGGTGGCTGCTATTCCCCAGTGTTCTTAAGCCCTTTCTGCCCTTTCTGACGCAGTCCAGAGGGGCGGCCAATCAACACAGTCCTCCCCGTCCTGCACCACCGCTGGGAAAGCCCTCACCTAAGACACGCAGGACCACCCCAACTCCGTGGAGCTGTGACTGACAGAGTGGAATCGGCAATGTACAAATGGACGAGTAGCTTGAGACGTGTTAATCATTTGCCTTACAATGTGTACCAGATGGTTTTAAGTACTAACAAAAGGGAATAAAAATACCTCACGCCACAATCCAGCATATTGAAGTTTTAAGGCAAAACAACCCACCTTGTCTCTTGGCTTTATTTTCATCTAATTCGGGTGGGTTGGTGTCTCTGCCGGCGAGGGCGGAGTTGGCTGGTCACTGCGGGTGAATGTGAAAAGGAAAACCAGACTCGATCACTCTTGAAGACGGCGTTTTGAAAAACTTCCTATTTTATAGTTTCTGCACTCAGAGACCGGGCATGTCTAGGAGACTGATCCCGGTGGCTATATAAGACAAGGACTAAACCCCAATGGAGGAGGGTGAAGCAGACAGGGAGGGGCCCTAGAGATGAGTTCCCTGAGGCTTCTCCCACATAGGCCCCAGGGGCAAGACCAGCACCCTGGGAGGCTGAAGCTCGGGTGCTCTGAGCAGCCAGGATGGCAGAGGCAGGAGCAGGGAAACTCCCACCTCAGTATTTCTGAAGGATTCCAACCTATTTGCTGGAAACGGTTCAGATCTATGAGTAGCACCTCTGTGCTCCCTGCTACCCTGTGACTTCAAAGAAAACCTAAGTCTGGTGTGACTCAGTGGTTGAGCATAGACCCATGAACCAGGTGGTCAGTTCAATTCCCGGTCAGGGCACGTGCCTGGGTTGCAGGCTCGATCCCCAGGGGGTGTGCAGGAGGCAGCTGATCAGTGATTCTCTCATTGATGTTTCTCTCCCTCTCCCTTCTCTAAAATCAATAAAAATATTAAAGAAAGAAAACTAAGTCCAAACCATGTGGGCAATTCACTGCCCCCAAGCTGCCAGGAACAGTTTCAGAGCCACCCTGTCTTGGTCCATCCCGGCTACTATCACAAAAATGCCAGACTGAGGGGCTTTGTAAAGGACAGAGATGTCTCTTACAGTTCTGAAGGCTGTGAAGTCCAAGATGGAGGTGCCGGCAGACTCGGTGTCTGCTGAGAGCCTTCCTGGGTCACAGCCAGCACCGATGGGTCCTCACATGGTGGAGGGCGAGGGATTTCTGCAGTCTCTTCTGTGTGGACACTCATCGCATCAGGAAGGCTCCGCCCTCATGACCTAATCACTCCCTCCTAGTGCCATCGCCTGGGCATTAGGATTTCAACATAAATTTGGGGTGGGGGTAAGTTCACTCTATTCCCTCTACACCAGCGGTTCTCAACCTGTGGGTCGAGACCCCTTTGGGGGTCGAACAACCTTTCACAGGGGTCGCCTAAGACCATCGGAAAACATATATAATTACATGTTGTTTTTGTGATTAATCACTATGATTTAATTATGTTCAATTTGTAACAATGAAATTGGGGGTGACCACAACATGAGGAACTGTATTAAAGGGTTGCAGCATTAGGAAGGTTAAGAACCACTGCTCTACACATAAGACACGAACTTAAAAAATCATTGTTTTCTGTGAACTTTATTGACCCTTGCGTGATACAGTACCTGTGCTTAAGAACACACCTTGCAGCACTCCCCATTTATTGCCATATTTTATAGCAGAAATACAGAAGCCGTTTTTTTTAAGGAAGAACATATAAAAACGCTTATAAACAGACCATATGTTTTGCCAAAAGAAAGGTACAAATGCTACATGAAGAATTAGACACTCCACAAGACCAACTCGAGAACAAAACTGTCAGATTCGGAAGGTGTGTGGCACTTGGTTACATCAAGATGGCCCCCTGCCTCGGTTTCCAAAAGGTGGTAGCTGTGCTTGTGTGTGAAACCGTCTCCCCGCTGGGAGCGCCACCACCATCTGCAGTCTCTGGATAAGCTCTTAGCTGCTGGGGTTTGGCATCGAGAGACTTCCGAGTGTTAGTAAATCCATCCTGAACGCTGAACTCCCAGGTCCGGCTGGCTACACACCAACAGCAGTCTATATGGTCGGAGGCAGGTCCCCTGGTAGCTCTGGAACCTGATCTGTCTTTAATAAAGGACTTGACGTGGACACCCAAATGCTAGCCTCCTTGGCTAAAGAACATGCCCTTAAAAACACAAGCTGAGTCTGTGTGTCTACAGAAAGTAACAGATCAGAAGAGATTGTATAAGGAGGTGATCCATTTTTAACATTCAGTTAAACCACATCTTTCCCAGGAAGCTACTTCCAACAGAAGATACTTCCAACAAACTAAGAGAGTCGTTTTCTACTTTATCTGGGAGACAGCATTGTGTATCATAATCTAGTGATTGCAGAATATCTACTACCCATTACTTGTATTTAAGATTGACTTCGGTGTCGTCTTGATATGCCATTGTCCACTGGCAAATTGTAGGAACTTTAAATCAGCTGCTGTCTAGGTTGTCCGTCTTAAATCAGACAAGCACTTTGGGGGAACACTGCTCGTTCTTTGAGTGATTCTCCTGTAATGAGCAAAACTGATCTTTGGCTTAGGCCTCACAAAGGGAAATCAAAGCTCCCGCACACAGAATACTCTTGGAAACACAAAAGGAAACACACAATTTATTGTTCAAGTTAACATCCTTGCTGCAGAATAGCATGTACAATAAGAATTAGCAATTCAGTTCTGTGTCCCCTAACCAAAGTGTATCCTTTATAGAAATTTCACCCAAATCTACTTCTAATTTAAAAAACAAAATTTAATTTTAGGATTTAAAACTAGACTCCACTACCAAAACTAAACAATAACCACCCACTCCAACGTCTCTCACTCGGGGCTCCGTCCTCTCTCGTTAACTTCCAGGCCACTAGGCCGACGGGTTCCTGACCTTCCATCCCAAAGTTTACCCAGTAACTCCCTTGCCTCCGAAAGTCCTGTCTTCCCCTCAAGAACTGCGACACCAACAAGAGGTGACAATGATTCATATCAAAAATATAAAAGTGCCATGCATACTTCAATCAGACAGTCGAATTGCTGCAAGAACTCTATTCTCATACCACAAACCCAGAGACTGGTGCCCCATTGGCAAGCAAGACCCTGTCACAAGCCAAGAAAAGTAGACACCTGGCTGCCAAGCTAGCGGACACAGGCTCCTGTATGAGAACAAAATAACCCTTAATTGAGGTCCCTGGGAAGAGAGAGCACAATTTTACAAATCAGCAGAATTCAACCCTATCTTCTCAATGACTAATTTTTAAAGTTGCATAGGGAACTGACCTGAACATCCAGCATTTTGAATTTGGGCACTTCTTCCTAGAGCATTCTAAAATGCCTCATCTCACCACACAACCACACACACACACAGCAGGCGCGCTGCCCTCTCGAGTCACGTTTCAGAGAGAGTATGCAAGGAAAGTGTTATAAAATTTATTCATGTGAGCATCCAGACATTTTAGGTGGGAAAGACGATATGCAGCTTTCACTACAAGCTGCAACAAAATCATATGGGAGAACGGACAGCTGGCGCGGTGCTGGCAGTGGAACGATTCCAAACGAATGTGAGACGAGAGCACTTCATTGGGGAGAAACTTAAAGTAATAATTTAAAGCTTCATGACACAAGATATGTTCCAATTTAAAACACTAAGAAATAGTACCATCAATGAAAAAGGAAATCAACTTCTAAGTGTACCAAAAGGGTTGTAGGGCAAACGAGGAAAATTTGCATTTGTTGAGGTACAAATAGGAGTGTTCCTTAAGAGGGGCATTAATTATTATTAATGGCAAACCCTGCAAATACAAAATAAAACCCAAATCACTGGTCACATAATTCAAAATTTACATGTAATAAAGGCAAGGCAATAGACTCAAGTTATGGCCTGTCAAATATTTACTCCACTGACATTATCTACAGAAGCACTTGGCCAATTTGTACACAGTGATTCCTTATGCACGCCAAAAGGGTTTCCGTAAAAATGACACTATATACAAATCTGTACACTGAGCCACCAGAGCGATTCTCCGTCTCCCGGGAGGGAGCACAACTTAAAGCAGGATACCTGAGGTTTCATTTCTTCAGTTGCCTTATCATAATCCCAAATATACATTTCAGGGTGTGTATTTGTTTTTAAAGACACTTTCCTTGATATGTGCACTATGGTTAAAATTAAAAACAAGAATAATAAAATAAAATGATCGCTGGAAGGAGCTGACCCTCCCCACCCATCTAGACTTATCCGGCCAAGGCCAGCGAGGAAGGACGCTGAGGCCTGTATGGGCAGCCTCGGCTGGGCCAGCCCTCGGTGCAGCTCTTCAGCGGAGTCAGCAAAGGCTCTCGTTGACTGTTTAAAAGGAGCAGGATGAAGAAGAAAGAAAAAACAAAACCCCAAATGCCAAAGGAAGTTCAGTGGGACGAAGTTCCTCCACCACTTAGCGAGTATCTAGGAAAAAACAGAGAAATAGAAATAAATAAATGTCATTTCTAAAAATTAAAAAATTAATTTGCAAAAATTCAAACAATAACCAAAGTCCTATTAATTTTCATACACTGCCAAGTCATCAAAATATGGAGCAACTATCAATGGATTATTATATAAAGAATTCATAAAAATGAACAAAATCATGATTCCAACAACAAATTTTCCGAGAAGTTAAATTCAGCCACAAAAGAACTAAAAGTACGTAGTAAAAAGTGAGACAGTGGTTCAGCCTCCCAGGAGAGAAAACCGTATGACTAAAACAGTAAATGGTACACCTTTACTTATAATCAGATTGAAAAATCGGTATTAACCAAAGACAGAGTAAGAGTCCAGGAATGCACAAACATGGCTGGTTTGAGGACCAGTGCAAAGAAACACTTTTGGCCACAAAAAAACTGAGGCTTGCTCAGGTACCCTCCTTCCTGAAATGGTCTCTTGGGTTTTCTGTAACTACAGTAATTAGGAAGCACTCTGATGTCCAACAACAGAGAAATGGTTACGTAAAAAAACCACCTGAATAAAATAACATATTAGAAATTGTAATATTTAAGCAATGAAATCTATACACAAATCAATAAGTGTGCGCAAAATTGTACAGTTTTACAATCTGTTTATCCCAAACACATACAAAAGAATGCCCCCAAAAGTATGTGTGCACTATACTTTTCAGAAATGTAAAAATTAGTAAGTTCACGACATTTATAATAATGGAAGGCAAAGCACCAAAAATGATGATAATGGGCTAGAATAGTGGGATCGTGTATACTTTCTTCTATTTTCCAATAATCCCACAGTATTGTCTTGCTTTGGAATATAAAAAAGGGAGCGCTGAGGGTGTGAGGTCCCCTCATGGCCAGGATTCCCTCAGACACCTCAAAACGGACCCAGTCGCAGCAGATACCTGAGGACACGTTTAACGGGACTTACGTAAGTATTCCAACCTAGAGCTCCTCTTCCCAGGCAGTTACAATACTCAGCACTCTGCCAGAGAACAAGTGCTCCCACAAGATCCCCCTGAAAGGCATGCTTTAGCCACAGATCCTAAGGCTCACATTTCAAGAAACATAAATGCCGAAGTCCTGGGAGGAGGAGTCCACACAGAGGATCCACACGTTAACTCAACCAAGACCTACAGGAAGCCTTCGAAATGCTTTAGAAAAGGCGGTTCTCGTTTCTGAGGTGATCCACTGCCTAATGCATCTGGGAATAAAATAAGTATGAGGCATGAGCAAGGGCCTCTGTGGTTTGGCGGCATCTGGGTGAGGGGCACACAGGAAGAGCTTGGGGATCCCAGGAGGAGTAAGTGGACCGTACCAGCCAAGGCCTGGGGGAAGCAGATAAGGACCCCAGAAGCTGAGGAGGAGACAGGATTCGCACACCAAGAAGGAAAGAGACACAAGCAAGACCCGTCTGGGGAAGACAAAGAGTGCCGACTCAGCACGTCTAAGGCATCACTGGAAAGTAAAACTTCAAGCACAATGTGGACAGTGGGCAATTATATCTGCATTATACATGGCTGCTGAGCACCTGAAAGGTGGCGGGTTCACATGTGGATGTGTGTGAATGTAAAACACACACTGGACTGCAAAGACTTAGTACTGAAACAAATGTGAAATACCTCACTGATGATGCTAATACTGATTACATGTTAAAATGAGATTTTGGATGCAATGGGTTAAAAAACATAAAACTAATTTCACTTGCTCCTTTTTTTACTTTTTTTGAATCCTCACCTGAGGATATGTTTTTTGAATTGATTTTAA